TTTCATTGAACAACCTGTTCTAAAACTTTCATAGTTTGCGGATTATTCCTGACAAAAAGAAAGCCATCGTCCTCGTGAAAACGCACACCACCCCTCGAGTATAATCGAAACCGATTGGTTGCAATACCCGTGTAGTATCCAGAAGTCGCCAGCGATAACCGTAGTACCTCTGTTAGCGTCATCAAATCGATGGGCAAATGTCGCGTACTCAAACCTAAAAACCCAATACGTTAAAAAAAAAAGAAACTGGAAAATATGAAAATATTGTAAACATTATACTGACATAATACAGATGGCTACCTTGTCAAGGCCGCTGTGTCTGAAATTGCATCATCCGTTTATCATTTAAAAGGCATTTCTAGTATCTATTTCCCAACATCTGCTTTTTTTTTTTAAAAACAAAAATAACAGTTTATTGCAATTCCTCCGAATTTTCATGTTTCTTAGTTCACAATCTTCGTCACCTATCCTATGCAAAACCTTGGCAGCCAGAAGTAGAAGTGACTGTACAACCGAGTTTATTCTTCAGAGAGAAATCAATCAATCATTTAACTGTTCAGTTTAGTCTTTGATCAACAAATAATAGAGACAAGCTAATTTATCGTTATGAACTCCCTAAGAAGGTTTAAATGAAATTTCCTTCGGCAAAACATTCACGATATTTGTAGTTTTTCTCAGCATCACTTAGCGAAAAGATGCAATTAGCGCCATTTATAAACCTAAAAATTTCAGAAGTCTAGAATTACATACCATGCGTGAGGCGAACGGTTTCATGAAGCGCCGTGGCTCGTCGAAGGTCAACACCGTATATTTTGTGATCAATGTCAACATTCGAGTCCGGTAACAACTCCTTTAAATCAGCTGAAAAAGACGAAAATACGGGCCGAACGCCATTCAGAGAATTTAGCGAGCTCCGTTATATCACAGTACTAGTAAAAACATTATTACAGGGTTACAGAAGCTGGAAAATCTCCCGAAACAGAAAGGGTAGAAGGGGTCATGGAGACCGCTCAACCACGAAGTGCTCATTCCCAATAGGAATGTCAGCGTTGTGGTAGACGAGGGTTAGTAATAAAAACCTCAGTCTCATGTGCGCCAGTATAAAAAGCTAATGATAGGAAA